ACTGGTTCAACCCCCTCTTTCCCCAGTCAGACAGAGCCAATTGTCTCATGAATGACCTTCAGCCGCAGCTTGCAGCAGCACCGCTGGACCTCAAACACCCAGTCCGAGGACTCGCAGCCCCACCGCCAACACATGCCTCTGCTCCATGAGCCAACCGGAGGTCCCTATGCCATTTCAGACTGTATATCTGCTGACTGCAGGCTGCTCACAATTGCAGATACAAACTTCAAATGTAATTTGTCAAACCATGCTGTGGACAGTCACAACTCAGGGTGTTTGCAATGGTGAAAAAGACCCTGAAAGTTTTTAACAATCTACATCGGCTTTATTGTAACTTGTTCATGCCTCAGTTAGCATGACGAAACAAGAACAAATGTAAATACTTGTTTAAAATCAAGCATCTTAATTCATTGTTTGTATTTGTTAATAATAATCCAAAAAGGTGAAGCTGAATTTCGTAGTCTGAAGTTGTTTTCTCATGAGCCCGCTGGTCCCCTTTCAATGTTACTTCACCGATGTCCTGCCTTTTACGAGACCACAAGAACCATCCCTTACGAGCTATAAACTCTGTACATCCATCCATCTGCTCGTGTATCCATCAAGGCCTCTTAGTCAATGACTTTTCATACTCTGAAATGGACACACGTACATTTTTTCATTTGACATTCAACTGACCGAACACAAGGTGAGCATTTCTGCCGACAGTTCCCTGCTGCCTCACGACTATCAGCACTACCGGTGAATCTCCTCAACTTGCTTTTGGAAATGCAAAAAAAAGTACCTTTTTGGAACTTTAGATTGTATTTTTTTTAACTGTGGTAAGGGCTTTCGAAAATGTGCGTGGGTTGCACTAACCAGTTGTACGGTAATTGGTAAAACTCACAATTAGGACATGAGTCCTGCTCGGTCACAGAAGCATTCGTAATAGGCATACAGTGTGCGACACTGGGATGTCACAAGGGGTTTGGAAATGAGGTCTACTAAGTATTTTTTATTTTTATATACTAAGGATTATATAAAATTTGAGGTCCATAAAATGCAGGTGTGCTTTCTGTGCATATTTTTAAAATAATATAGCTCAATGTTTTATTTTTATATAAAACATTCTGTACAGTAGGTTATTATTATTATTATACCATGTGTAAATGATGATGATACTTCATGCAATCAATAAGAAAATTAGATTAATTTATAATTAAAAGTAAGATATAGTATACAGTATAATTACATAATGATTTACAGATGAAAAATAATTCCAAATCAGCTATGCCAAAGTGCTAAGTTTAAAACTGTGATTAAGCACAATTAATTTTCCTAACCACAAAAACAATTGCAATCATTTTTTAAATCATTTGACAGCCCAATTTAGAATATAAAATCCAAACTCTAAAGAATATCTTTTCATAGATGTAAAAATACACTGCAAATATAGTCTGCCAATTATTGCCACTTTTATACATGAAAAATGACTTGTAATATTCAGTACATAAAATTACAGTCTTTAAATTGAAAAATTACACATATGGTAGATTTTGCTCTACCATATGTAAAAAAAATAATATAAGAAATCACATTATATAACTGCAGCAATAATTTGTGAGATTTGTGTTATGTCCAAATGTTTTGCAGGACAGGCATTTCCTATATTTTGGATTTGGCGATTCGTGAGTATCAACACATAATACTTTTTCATGCAGGGTTTTGAGGTGGCATGCAAGAGCATGCTGTGGAACTAGGTCACTTTGCTGCCCCTCTCTGCAGGGGAGTACGGAGTTCCCCCAATGCTCTCTCTCTCTCTCTCTCTTTCTCTGTTTCTTGCGTTTCAGGCTCTTGTAGCAGGCAGGGCTCAGAAAGACAGACTACCGACCGGACCCGTATGACTCCTTACTCCTGCGCCTTTTCTCCAGCCTCTTCAGCCTCTTCTCCTCCCGCAGACGGGCCTCCTCCTCCTCCTGGTGCTGCCGGCACTTGTGGAAGTTCTCCACCACCACGCCCACGAACATGTTGAGCACGAAGAAGCTGACGATCAGCAGGAAGGAGATGAAGTAGAGCAGCATCCAGGGGTTGTTGTTCCGTTTCGGCTACGGGGGGTAACAAGGAAGAGAGAAGGAACACAGAAAAAGAGGGGAGGGCGGAAGAGAGAGCGAAAGAGAGGGGAGAAAAAGACAGAAAGAGAAAAATCATGGCAAAGGGGAAGAGAGTGCATCGTATAATTTTTCTCTGCCGGTAGAAAAACCGATGAATCAAAGAGGCCACTTCAGACAAGTATCCCAGTTTTATAACTCTGTAATTATAAGTTTTTAAACAAACAACACAACTCACAAATAATCCTTTTTTCCCCGTAAGACGAAGCTTCTAAGGTGGTTTTAGAGAAATGTTTATAGGTATATTATTTTCCATTGCATATAAATAATGTAGAAGTCGCTGTCAACTCTAATTAAATGTGCAGAGTTTTGCACAAGCGTGAAATAATTTTTGAAATTGGGCCAACTAATTAAGCTTCTGGACACTGCAAGCTGTTGGTAGAAGCTGTAACGGAACATGTCAGACAGAGAACTTGTGAACTTGTGGTTTTTTGCACTTCTGAAATGCTTTGACATGCAGTGTGCCAAGGTGGCATGCACGAGTCCTGTGAAGGAAGACTATAGTAGATTCAGTTCAAGTCCCTTCTATCACCATGACAACACCACACCTGTATGTCCACTGCCACGGCATCCAGGCCGTCGTACATGATATTGACCCAGCCATCCTTGGAGGAGAGAACGAACAGTGCCATAAGAGCCTGGAAAAGAATCATAGAATGACATTCTTAGAGTGGGAAACCACAAGAACAGTGATCATTTCATAGCTATATGCATGACTGTAAATCTAAAATAATTAACTTTCATGACAGATCTTAAATATTTTCAGCTTTGTCATTGTAAGACTAATATTGATTTGGTGTATTGTATTGGACAATGTGATTTAATACTAATAACTATGAAAAAAAATCTCACCTGTCCCAGGTTGTCGAAGTTGTATTTCCTTCTTATCCAGCGATAGTTAGCCTGGAGGCATTCGGACTTATTGGTGATGTTTTTCATGTCATGTCCCTCGCAGTGGTAAAACTTCCCCTTGAAAAGCTAAATTTCAAAGAACAACAAGATGAGGTCTCATGAGACGATCAGACTAGACCGAAATTAAACAACTTTTTTCTCTTTTCAAAAAATTCTGTCTTTTTTTGATTGCTACAAAATGTTGGACAGCAGTGATATAATGGTTTTGAAAAAAAGCTACCCAAACAAAGTGTCAGAGCACACCGTATAAATCAAGCTAGTGGGTCCTTCCTATTCTACATTCCATCCAGTCTCCCTCGAACATTCTGCATGCGCCTCAACCCCCGGCAAATCTCTGTGTTTTTCCTTTAAAAACCTCCACTGTGGGCATACCAATTCCCAACATGCCTTCCAGACCACAATCTATAATGTGAGCGGACCTCATTATATTCAATGACCCTTTTTTCGCTCTTCCTGTGCAGCAACGCTAATGAAGGATGTGAGGCGAGGAGCGTAAATGCGACCCCCAGCTTATGAACCGTGACTCATCATCCTCGTCTCTGGCGGCCGCTAAAAAAGCACTCTCGACCTGGGGGGTACTGAGAAATGCGGGGGCACCCGAGACGCCGGGGCCCTGGTTTAGATGAAAAGGGACCTTTGTCGATTGGGCTTGGGCAATTGAGATCCGCAAATGGGTGCTTTTTTATATTATTTGTACAGGGGGAAATGCGACGGATGATTCATACAGCCGCTTTCGCCGAAAACCTCCTCGCGCGTTCACACACGAAAAGGAGAGAATACATTCTGACAGTGTGATGTAACAGATTGCAAACAGAATCGAAGATTTTTTAAGGAAAAAAGGAAGGGAAAAAAATACATCCCAGAGCTACGTTGAAGTAGATGACCCAAATTGAACACGAATGTCTCTAAATGTGGAGGCTTCTGGGACGTCAGGCATCCTGTCCCTCGTCCCTTTGGAAAGACGTTAATGAAGCGAGCGCAGTGAAACACGGTGAAACACGGTAAAACACGGCTCCCCGATACTCCAGCGCCGTCTGCGTTATCGTCCTGTCTCCTTAATTCTGCTTTTGTGTCTCTTTGTCATCAAACAGCCACTTTGTTTTTCATGCCTGATATGGGTTGGAGGGGGATGTTATTGTCTCAGAGCAGGATCAAGGCAGTGAACAGGAGCTTTCTCATGAGGGGGTCAGGAGGAGGCATGATGGGTACCCACTATTAGGACCTAATTAACAATACCTAGGGACAACACAAATTCAATCAATACCGTATTTAGTTTTTTGTCCATAAAATTGTCAAAATAAAAACATTTTTTTGATGAGGGGCGATGGGACTCAGGAATGCAAAGACACTAACACCTGGACTGGAGTCCTTAACACCTGGACTGGAGTCCTCACCTGCACTCCCAGGATCCCAAACACGATGAAGAACGCGCAGCAGATCAGCACGATGTTGCCAATGGGGCGGAGCGACGTGATCAGCGTCTCCACCACCAGCTTCAGTCCTGGAGCTCGACTGATCACCCTGAGGACGTGCACAAACACACACACACATACACAGACACAAAAACACACAAACACGAAGAAAGATAGTGAATTTATTTGGGGAATCTGTGTTATTAATCAATGGATTAGCAAAAGTATCAGTAATCTCAGCCACTGTGGAGTTTAAAGCTATCTACACACTTCACATCATTGAGTACGAATACACATGTGAAACAGCTGCTGCAGATGGAAGCCAAGCTGTGAGAGAACAAAACCAAGGAAACCAACAGCAAACACTGTGCAGTCATATTATTTACAGCTCCCAAACACTCCCATGTTCCCTTCGCTACATTATAGTTACATTACAGCACAGCTATGTAGCTGATGCTTTTACCCATGGTGACATACAGTGTAACCAGGGGTGAATGTGGGGCATTGCTAAGGGCCTGATAGCTGCACTGATCTCATTGTCTGGGGCTTGAACCACCAACCTTCTGGGTTCTAGTCAAGTACTTTAACCACTAGGCTAAAAGTGAGGACTGATGATGTATGACGCCCCCTTGGTGCCCGCCTGGCTTTCTGCCCGTACCCCCGATCTCACCTTAGAGGCCGCAGGGTCCTGAGGAGACGTAGCACCCGCAGAATGCCCAGAATCCGGTTCCCGCCATCGGACGCTAGGGACACCAGGATGTCCACCAGGGAGACGAAGACCAGCACGCCATCCAGAACGTTCCAGCTGCTCTGCAGGTAGCTGTCTGTCCCCGAGTAGAAACCATGTGCCACCACCTGTAAGAGACAACAGGGCACCTGTTATAAAAGCCAACTTTTATATTTTTATACATATTCCTGAGTTCAAAGGATACAATGTGAGGTCTAAGGACTACACCTTTTTCTCCCCAATTTCTAATCAATAACTGTGAGACCCAAGAAGTGGAGCGCAGCGGTGTTAAACTACAGCTTAAAGCACTACTGGGGCACAGAACCCTAGTGCTCACATACAAACACTTGAAATGTATCATTTTCTGGGGCACAGAAAAATCTTACTGGGACATGTACCCCAGTAAAAAGCAATGGCCCTGGTTGAGTGTATTTCAAATATAATTTTTGTTCTGTCACATCATGAATCTGATTGTATGTGTATAGTATACTGCAAGTACATCGTAGGATTACACAACTGAATTTTAAGCAAGAACTACAGACATGCACCCCTTTTCAGAGGGGTGGTGAATGGTGTTGTAATTGTTGTGTTCACCTGTGCACAAGAGACCCTACCACCACAACGCGGAAGATATTTTAAAATATGCTCATTTCCCAGAGGTTTGTTTTTCATTCCAGTTGAGATCACAGCATTAAATCAAAAACAAAACAAGCTCAGAGGAAAAAAAATGCACCATTACCTTTACAGTCATTTCTGCTACAAAGATCACAGTGAAGACGTAATTTGACACGCTGAGAAAAACACGCTCCTAAAAAAACAGGACAGAGAAACACCCACATGTTAGAATTGTCATCAGTATTGCCATAAATTAAGTGTAGGTGTAGGTGTATGTTTACGTTTATTTTCTATGGAACCAACAGAAGAAGTTGCTGAGGATCTCAGCCTATCAGTGCTTCGCATGGGGCTTGTGAGGCCAAGGGGGGTGAGCAGGCACTGAGGGGTGTACCCACACTTTATACGGCTGCTGTCTCAAAACCATGGATGCCTCCATTCCCTCAGACTAATGGCTTTACCTACAGGCCTGCAGAGCTGAGGATGATGACTGATCAGCAGAGCTGTGCCTTATTCCTTTCATCTACCCTGATACTTACTCTGCCGTTTAGAGGACGGGGGGGTCAGAAATTTGTGGACATGACCTGCTGTGTTTTTTCCTGATGCTCTAAACAGCCCCAGATTTTGAAGACTGCCTGAGGTTTATCCTCTAAGCTTGTCTGTAAACTCCTCCTCCAGTTCTTTTCTGCTTTGTATTCTCCATTTCCTATTTTGCTTTGTGGGGTGTCGCCTGAACTGTTTAACTGTTATGTGTGCTGTTTTATGCATCCGGCACCTGACACCACAGATATACTGACTGAGCCGGCGACTTACTGTGCTCTGCGGGAGGATGTCGGGCCTCTCAGTGCGATGGTGATGCAGTTGAGGAAGATGAAAGCCAGGACAATGTGGTCGAACATCTTGTGAGCAATGACCCTCTGTGAGGTCACACGAAATCTGAGGGGTGTAGAGAAGTGGGGTGGAGGCGGTGTGTTAGTGAGGGAGAACAACATCGCTGCTTGTCTCTGGAACGAATGGGTGTGAGATTGAGACACTTACTGGTTTTCGGGGGAGAACAGGTAGAGGGACCAGTCTTCACGTTCTCTGCACCATTGCGGCTTACGGGCTTCCAGTGTCTTCCGAATCCGGTAGCAGAGGCTCTGTGAGGAGACAGACGGCACGGGAAACGCCACTTCAGTCACAGCGTAGGAGGCCATGTGATCGCATTCACACTTCGCCGCCATTCCACGCCTCAAAAGCCCAGTCACAAACTCCCTCCTCACTGCTCAGCTCGTCCTCCTAATCGAAAACTACAGCGCTATAAAAAACCTTAACCAGTTAGCCTGGCATGCTGCCTTCATTAGAACCCTACTCCCCCCACCCAAACCCTCTCCCCAAATATGAACAAAAACAAAAAAAAACAATTTCATAGTCACTTGAGCATGCACCACGCTTGGCCTGGCTCCAGGGTTTTGCGCCCCCCCTTCTGCCAGCTCCACACAGGGGCTATAATCCCCCCCTCTCTCTCGCTGGAGCCCGGCCCGCCTCCAATCAGCCGCCGTCTCCGAGGCTTGCCTCCCGCCTGTTTTTCTTTAGGGCTCTTCGAAACTGAATTACCGTGCCGTTTCCCCTGAGCCTCTGCCGATACTGTCACCGTACCTGTGAGGTCACTTTCCACCCACCCAGAAAAAACAATTACTCGCCTGTGAGGGACCGTGCCGAATCAGTTATTCCATGACAATTAGGCGTTGCGTATGGCGGTGGATGGCGGGAGGAGAAAGAAACCACGCAAACGCAGCTCACGGTGCCGCCTGAGAGGAGGCCCTGATTGATTTTGCGTTAGATCTCTGAGATTATTGTTATTGTTTTTACGGAAAAGAACGATACCACAGCTGAGTTGCAGTCCCAAAGGGAGGTCTCACTCACCTCGTCCATGTCCTCGTCGTAGTCGGCCTCCTCCTTCCGCGGGACGGGGTTCGCGGGCGGGTGCTGGGTCCTGCCATTGCAGTCATGGTGTTCGCCCTGTGAACGCGGCGTGGGGGCCTGTAGGGGCTCCTGCAGGGGGAACTCTGGGGATTCGGGGCAGCGCTGGAGGGGGGTGCCGGCCACACTGCCCCCCTTGCTGGACCCTGCCCCGCCGTCCGAGCTCTCGTCCTCCGAGCTGCCCCGGCCCTCACCCGACAGCAACGACTCGCGCTCCCCGGAGGGGTCCTTCCTCTTCAGGCTGGGGGCTCGACTCAGACTGTTCCAGCTGGAGCGCCGGCTGCCCCAGTTGCTGCCCGGCCCCCAGGGTCCCCCGGGAGAGCTCCGCATGCTGGACTGGGGGTACGAGAAGGGGCACCTCCAATCACAACCCACTCAGCAACCCACACAGTAACAGTTCTAAAACCGTTTGACGAAGAAATGCTGTGTAGTGGTAAAATATTGGGATTTTAACCAAGAGGTTGCAGGTTCATATCCCAATATGGGCCATATCATTCACTTTTCCCTGTACATAAGTTAACTTAATTTGCAGTGCTTCAGTAAAAATATCCATCCAAATATAATGTCAGCCATATAATCTTCTATGGATAAGAGCATCTGCTAAGCAAATAAATGGATCTGGAATACCAGCCAGCTTGGGGTTTCTACACAATGGATCCTCACAATTTTGATAGGTTTAACCAAAATGATTGACAGCTCATTTTAGCCCCACCCACACAGGATCACCTAGAAAAAAGACCCACCCTCTCCAAGTCTCGACACCAGACAGTATGAAATCCAGAGACTGTACGACAGAGAATGAGTGCTGATGCATGATCAGGCTTCCTCTGTCAAACCTCCGTTCTGAGCAATAAAAGGCAGAACGACTAAAATCCGCTAGTCTAAGATGTGTTTTGAATGTGGGACCCAGAGCGACGCTCACCAGGGACTTCTGGTCGAATGCAGTGGGGTCGATGGAGGCGTTGCTCCCTCGCCGTGACTCAGCGAAGGCGTGGGCTGAGTCCGTGCCCAGGGAGCTCTTGGGCGTGGGCATGGGCGTAGCGGCCGTGCGCATGATGATGGGCGGGGCTGCGCTGCCCCGGGGGTCTGTGTACCCGTTGGCAGTCATCATCAGAGCATACATCTTCAACTCTGCGAAAAAACAGCGCTACATTATTACATGTTTCTATCTCAAACCAAGTCTCTTTCAGCCCAGAAATGGGCCAGGCTAATTTAATATGTTTTTAAGCATTGAGCAAGGGCGTTTTATGGATTTGAATTCTAAGACCTATTAGCAGAGCACGTCTGTATGGGATCTGTTAACTGAAAGGAGGAACAGCACAGCAACCTGCCATTTTAGCCAAAATTACTGACCATTTATGTACGAGGCCTAGACAGAAAAGTGCCATCAATAATTCACCCTCGCACAAATGGAAGCAGGAGTGTTCCTTTCGGCTCCAAGGAACCATTAATGCTTCTTTCATTATCATCTCAAATCAGTGGGACTGTGCAGCTGTGCAGGAGTCTGCAGAATGCAGCAGTGGGCTTAAGTCATGTGTGCTAATAAGGCATTAGCAGCCACTATTGATTAGGGTGTGTGTGCTGATGAGGGGATGCTTGCAGAAAGGAGAAGCTAAACATCACAATGAACGAGTGAGCGGATTAACGCATGAATGAGCAAGTGTTCACTCATTCATGCATTCATTCATTCATATTTGGCTCAAGCCCCTGAGTTGATGTGGAAATGAGGTGTTCTGGATTTTCAGAGCTCAAGCCTCCTAAGCACTATAATCACCCGAGGCTTGCAGCTCCCTCATCTTCTCCTCCTCTTCGAAATTCGTCGAGGCTTTCTCGTCGTCGGTGTCTGACCTACTTGCATCCCCCTGCAATGGAACAAGAGGCATTTTTGGGAAAAAAGGACAAAACAAAACAGCAACAACAAAAAAGGCATCACAGGAGACAGCTGGTGGCAGTTTACTGGCCACTGTACGAATGTTAATCACACCAGAGAGAGAGAGATGGAGGAAGAGAGAGGGAGGAGAGAGAGAGAAAAAGAGAGAGAGAGAGGTGGGGAGAGAGAGCTCACAAAGTCAAGGTGAAGAAAAACCAAACTGTTTGCAATGCTCAGAGCATGAATGTCAACTACTGGGCTCAGATGTGTTCTGGCATTTATAACCGTTGTCAAAAAAAAAAAAGAGTGGATCTGTGCAGAAGATTAATCTGCATGCAAACTGCACATACTGCCCTCACTGCAGTGCCTGCCTGTCAAAAGGAGTGCTCCTCTATGAAAAAGTTATACGTGTGGCAGAAAGAGTAAATATGAAA